AAAACAAACTTATATTTTGTATCAAAACCATCAGAATGCATACTGTGAGGAAGTTACTGCAATGCAAATAGAAAGTGTTAATAGTCCACCTCCATGGAGTTGGTAGACATGCTCTTCTTCTAAATCCATATACTATACTATTTTAGGAGTAAAAAACATTAAATTGGATGCTGTTAATTAAAAAATATCTTTTGCGTTTAATATATTCTTCTTGTTCGAATGGATTCCGGAACTTTTATTCTCCAAGAGCAAGATTCTTTGACAGTTTTTCACATGAAGCTTTAACATCGTCATTTGGAATAGTATTTGTCATGATTTCTAAGTACAAACCACTCTTCATCATTAAGATCAATCACACAAATGTTTGTTAGCATCCATGTAAGATGAAAACATTTATAGGAAAAATAAAATAAATAAATAAAAGTTATAAAAGAAAATTTAATTTTTTGTCCAACATACAAATTTAAAAAATAAAAGTCTTTTGGTAATTTTAAATTATGGTGAAAATAGCAGTCTAATATTGGGTTAAAGAAATAAATAACATGCTATTTATGACATAAAAAGGCAGTCATGATAATTCTATTGTTGTTTAGTCGGAGTTTTACATAATAATTCCAAATTTATTTCAATATATGGACCTGTCAAACAAAGATTCATCTCCACAATTCATTAGATAGTTGAGTGACAAAAATATCCCTCGTGATGTTTCTCTCATCCTATAACATTATTGTCTAAATTTAATTCCAATATTCTTTCAAGGGAAAAACTAAAGTGTATTCCATCGTACTTCCATAAAAATAGCAACTATAGATGCAAAAAGTAGGCTGATATAAAATGCTTTTAATAAAAATAGGTTGCTGAGAAAATGAAAAAAAACCACAGTGGGTATAAGATGACAATGGTTAAAAGTTGGCTGCTATAAAATGCATTTATAATAAAACATTGAGTGTTGATTAATGATAATCTCCATATATTTCAAACTCACGCATTACAATGAATAAAATGGAATAAATACAAGATAAGGAATGGGCCTAGATAGGTAATACACACAATTGGGCTAGGTTAAATACATACAAGAATAACAAAAATATACATACAAGTTACATTTGTCTGCTAACAGTTATAAATGTACAGTTAAATAACAGTTTAAGTCCATTGAGTGTGGATTAGAAAAACAATGATTTCTTCCGGGTATAAAAGTCATTACAATTAATAACAACACCCAAACATTGGGTTCATATAATTCCATTAAAACATATAAAGTTTATATCACAAAATAAATGAGGACAAATTAAAAAAAAAAAGCAAATCCTCCTGTTAAGAGTTGTAAATTATAAATGACAATTATGCCCATATATCCAGTGCAGTTTAAGAATGAACATTTAAATAACAGTTTAATAGGAATGTTATTGTCCTATTGTCCATTGATTTCTTCACCATATCAACTATGTATTTTACTTATGAAGCAACAAAAGGATAAGTTGGTACCTGATTATGCGGTCGAGAAAATCACCAATGATTTGAGACCGGATAAAAGAAAAAATAAAAAAAATAGTTTAAAGAGTGTGGATGAAGAAATAACAGTTTAATAGCAGTAAGATATATAAATTTAAACTTCATGATCATGAAAGCAATTAAAAGTATAGATGAAGAACTAACACTTTAATATATAGCAACACTATTGTAGTATTGTCCATTGATTTGTTCATAATATACAATATTTGTGTTACCTTTGTTGTAGCAAAAGAAGAAGATTGGTACCTGATTATGCAGTCCAGAACAAAATCGATCATTTGAGCCCGGAGAAAAGACTAACAGAAAACAAAGACCGATCATATCGTATATATAATTAAACTTGAAATTGTTATCAATAATGATTTGTTTCCATAAAAAAACAATTTTCATTCCAATGATAATATTTATTTAAGAAATAATTCATCAAATACAACCTTGATTTAAGGTAATGACGTGAATATTTAATTATATATCTTAATAGCTACTGGGAAACACTTATTGCTCCAAAAAAGGTGGGGTACTGGGCTTGGATCTATCAAAAGTCTTAACATATCTCTGCTAGCTAAATGGATGTGGCGATTGAAAAATGATAATTTTGCACTATGGGCGAAAGTTATTCGCTGCATCCATGACCTAGACGGAAGACATTGGTCTATTTTTACTAATAGATCCAGAACGGGTGTTTGGAAGAATATTGTCAAAATAAGGTCTGCCTTAAAAAAACTCAATATCGACCCTAAGGAGATTGTGTACTGGAACCCAACGGAATACCGTTGGGCCTCTGATTTCGTGATTGACCATCGTTTTTCTGTGAGATTGTTACGCGATCAGATTGAATTGGCAGGTCATGTGGTGTGTGATGGACCATTTGAATGGTGTAAGGTGATCCAGTTTAAAGTTTTATGCTTTATATGGAGACCGAGGTTGGGCAAAATCCCATCAACATTAGCACTTAAACGGAGAGGTGTCACAGTTCCATCGATTATGTGTGGTTCGTGTAACTATCAGGAGGAGTTGAGTGATCACATTTTACTCATATGCCCATTGGCGAAAAAGGTGATGGACTCTATTCTTTTTGGTGCGAAATCTCCTGTGATGGCTTTGATTTGGTGAAGGATATGTTACTTTTCATATCGCGATGGTCTAAATGCAAAAAGAAAAAAGAAGACTGTTAAATGTGATCTTGTGCGGAGGATTATGGGTTATATGGAATGATAGAAACAAAAGGGTTTTCAATAACATTCCTTTTGTCCCGACAAACACTGTGGAAAGGATAAAGTCGATAACTTTCATTTGGTGCAAACATAAGGGATTGCTAAAGAACATTGACCGGAGAGTATGGTATTTAGGTCATTTTCTTTGTTTGTAATATTTTGTGTTTTCCGTATGTTATCTTTTTCATGCTTTGTACTTGTACTTTTCCTCACATCGTCTTGATGTGAGTTTTTTTATATATTTGCCGTTTAAAAAAAAAAGTAACGGATTTGAGCTTGATTTATCAATGTAATTTATTCTAATTATTTTAGTAATGAATTGGATTAATTAAATTAGTTATGTGTAAAAAAAATGGAACCAATACAATAAGATTCTTATTTATTATGGGTGATTTGATTATTCTTTGATTTTTTATGAATGATGGACTAACGTGTTTATTATGAAGAAGATCATTTTTTTATGGGCCAAACATTTTATAATTTATTTCTTTCCAAAAAAACGTTTTATAATTTGTACCTTTTATAATTTTTTTTCTTTCATTTTTCTTTTTAAAGACGAAGGTCTTTTTTTGGAAACAATTTCATTTGCCTACCTTTTACTTTTTTTTTTTCCAGTAGAAATTGTAAAATTTGCATGGAGAGCCACCCAATTTGGGCCATCACACTTACGGGTTAACCTAACCGGACCAGGTGAAGGTGCAAGGGGCACTTAGTAGTGTAGCCGTGCCAAACACTTCTCCAATCGAACCTCAAAATCCGACTGCCACTCTTCACACGACCACGAGAGACGCAGATAGGAGAGAAAGGGACAGGA